TGTGTGTGTGTGTGTGTGTGTGTGTGTGTGTGTGTATTTGTTCCTTGTACGTTTCCACACTTCTTGATCAATCAGCACCATCTTTTTTCATACTGATAGAATTATTGAAAACAGTACGTCTTTCTTTTCAGTATTGGTACGTTCATGTATTCTTATTACGTTAAGAAAAATAACAGAAGCACAATTTCTTATCCTTTGTTAAAAACGAGTTTTTATTACACCTAGTAGTAACACAAATATATTGAATTATTATTGATATTTTATACGATTTGATTTTTTTTTTTTTTATTACGCGCAAAGCTACACGGGGGTTATCTACGCTGGACGTCTCCAATTTAGTAGTGACAGTCAACTAGGCAACAACACCCACCGCTAACTCTTGGAATACTCTTTTACCACCGAATAGTTGAATTAACCGTCACATTATAACGCCTTCACGTTCAGTGACTGGGATTCGAACCCACGACACTCAGGTTGCGAGTAAAGTACCTTAACCACGAGGCCACGCCAGGACTTCCATAAATGCTATAAAAACAACAACAACACTTCCCGCTATTTACATTAAGCTGTTGTTGGGGTTTATGTCTACCAGCACAGGGTCATAGTACTAGCTAGAGCGGATACTTTTAACACACATACACCGTACACAATAAAAAAAGTAAGAGAAAGAAACAATATTAAGAATACGGTTGTGTAAATATAGTATTAGAACGTCAACTCCATATAAAAGCTATTTTAAGTCGTTCGAAACACGTCATTGCCCTCCAGTAGAGAGATCGAAACATATAGCCGTACTTCTATGTTAATCTGTAGCCTAATTCGATCAATAGTCTGGGTCGAAACTGTAAGGCACTACCGAGTATAAGAAGTTTACTTAGTGTAAGATGATAAAAGAGTGAAATTGAACGATTACCAAACATATTGATTCACAAGACAAAATCTAACGATTTCATACAACTCACACACTATCTTTCCCTCAAACTCTTCACCGCCACCCCAACCTCTTTTGTTTTTATTCAGCGAGAATTAGAATTGAATACAAGTATCAAACAAGAATCCCTCCACCCAGCGATAAATCTGAAGGCTCCATAACGCTAGAAGTACCCCCCCCCCCAGCGATAAATCTGAGGGCTCCATAACGCTAGAAGTACCCCCCCAGCGATAAATCTGAAGGCTCCATAACGCTAGAAGTACTCCCTCCCCCCAGCGGTAAAAACCGAGTTTAGCAACAAACGTAAAAAGGAGTTTTTTT